TGAAGAAGTAGAAGAGTAGATGTATGAGTTTTTGAAAATTTTTTGTTTTCTCAAATTATGGAAATAAAAAATAAGAGAGAAATTTAATCTATTCAATTGTAATGAAAAAAATGTTTTACGTAAAACATTTTATCACTTTAAATATAAACATTAAATGTCTTAACTTATTTATTTAGTGAGCAGTAATGTAATTATAATCTTTCAATAAAATTTTAGCTTATACGCAATCTATTTAAAAAACTAAGTGTACTATCTTACAAAAAATTTAAAAGTTAAAGTTTTTTCATGTCGAGAATGAATAGTAAGTTTTATAAGGTAAGGTCATCAAACTATTGTACATTGTTGTTAGCTGCAAATGACGCAATTTCTGATTAGTTATTCAATGATTCCAAAGAACATCGAAGATTCCAAGAATAAAGGCACGAGAGAAGAGTGCATATTGTTACTCGGTATCTCTGTAGTATTATGTAAAGAGCCTTTAATCAAAGTGGCGCTATAAGAGAACTGTTACGCCATGTTGTATCGGATTCTGCGAGAGAAAAGCGAGAGTGCGCTGAGTGCGAGAGAGAAAGAGAATATGTCTCACCCAGTCTTTCCAACAGTCTGTCTCAGTCTATCCAATCTATACAACCTGGCGGACCAATCAAAAGTGATAACCGTATGACGCCACTCTGATTAAAGACTCTCTAGAGTCTCTAGTATTATGTATGAATCTCACCGTGATAGTCTACCATATTTCCGTGATCCTTCCGCAGTGGACGAAGTTTCTAATCTGTTTTTTATTCATTGTCATTACGATGGAGAGCGAACGCTATAACAACAACGTAGTGCATCATAATTATACAGAAGAGCTAACCAATGAGGATAAGAAATATGCAATGGAATATTTAAACGAAACTGATGAAAATAGAGAGAACGATGTCGCGGAAATTAGACGCTGGCTCGAGGACGAATTACGCATACGAATCGGTAAAAATGACAGCGTTCCATGTGCATTAAAATTTCACTTGAAATTCAATTACGATTTACTTTTTCCGGAACAATAAAACGTAGTCAGAAAAATGACAGTGTCGATATGCCATGTTAGATCTGACGCTATCTCGTTGAATTCAATTTTAATTGTGCAATAAAAGAAGATAAAAAATTATGTAACAAGTTGTGTCTAAGTTGTTTTTACCGAGAAGAGAAATTCGACAGTAATGTAAAAGTCTCGATACATGATAAACGATGAAAATAGTGTCTCAATAAAAAGTCTATATAAAAATATAATAAATTGAGAGTAAGCCAATGAACGGTCATAATAAGATCTTGGTGGTTCTAATTTCTATATAGATGTGAATTTTATATATATATTCTAATTTCACGAACTGCGCGCCGCGATTTTCTCTCAATTTATTGTGTTAAAATACTTATATGGTTATAATATATATACATATATATTTATACATATATACATATATTATACGAGTATATATAGTCTGTACATAAAAATGTTTGTTTATAGCACTATTGCATTTTACTATTTTTTAAATCAAACATTTTCATCAAACAATTTAAATCAAACATTTTCATTAAACATTTAAATCAAACAATTTGTCATTCGTTTTTATTTATATCTCTCAATCAAAAAAGCACAAGAAAATATATTATATATTAGATATTTTTAAAATCATATGCTACTCTAAAAACGAATTTATAAAATCGCAATTTAATTTATAACATGTACGTAATGATACATTTAACATTGCTCTTTTTATTTAAAGAGAATTCTTAATTTGTATACAGATAATTTTTTTATTTTGCGATTTTTGAGAGTCTGCAAGTTTAACCTCGAGAAAACCAAGACCAGAATACGAAACTATTATAAGCAGTTATCTCATCTACCGGAATGGTATTTAAATAAGGATCCATTTCGACCAGAACTGCAGGAGCTGCTTGATTTAGGGTACGATCATCATTTCAAAGTATATAAATGCACAATATAAATAAGATCTGTAATCTCTTGCACTTTTTTATTGTTCGATCAATAGTACATTTTTAAATTAAATTTTAGTCTTGATCTGTTTTAGATACAGAACTTCACAAATCGCGACTTTAATTTTAATGACAAATTGTTTAAATTTAGACTTTAGAGGTAAATTTTTGTTAACTTTTTTATCGTTTTAGTAAGAATATTTATTTATATGTATGTTTATTTTGTAAGAATTTTCGGAGATAACTAGATGTATTGTAAAATTAAATAGCATATATATTAATTGATTTTTTTTTTAAATTCAGAAATATTTCTTTTTTGTTTAGAATATTATTGCCTTTGCGGAAGCCAGACAGTCAAGGAAGAGTAGTTTTTCTTATTCGTGGCACTCGGCACGATCCAAGAATACACACAATACCAAATTTGTCTAAGGTAAAAATTAAAGTAACACAAAATTCGAATAAATCATAGCGGATGCGTTTATGTATACAGATGCGTAACATATTTTCAATTTGTGTTCATAATTTTCAATGGACAATCTCTTTAGGCCTTTATATTGGCGATAGAAATGGCGATGAAGTATTATCCAGCAGCATCCGTGTATGGCTGCGCAATGTTCTTTGACGTAATCAATCCAACTATAAGACACATTTTTCAATTTCGACCCTACGTGATAATGAATATGGTCCACGCGTGGCAGAGCTGCTATCCTATGAGATACCAGACGATTACCGTATTCAACGTCCCGACGTTTTTTGATATTGTAATAAGAATTATGAAATCTTTCATGACCGAGAAAATGAAAAACAGATTCTATGTCTATTCACACAGGCCACAGTGTTTCAAAGATATTCCCGCTAACATTTTACCCGTCGAATATGGTGGTACCGACGGTACAATGAAGGAATTAACAGGTAATGATCAATTTAAAACGAAATAAATGCGACGCTGTTAGTGTACAATAAGAGATGTTTCTTATCAAAAACAATTATTGTCGAAGAAAAAATAAACTTCCCTTAAGACAAGCAAGTTTATAGACAATATAAATATTAACAGTAAATATTAAGAGTTTATTAATTTCTAAAATTGAATGTACTTGTAAAGACTCTCAAAATTATTTAATTCAATATATGTAATATAAACATTTATTTTTGCAGAATATTGGAAGAAGTTAATTGAAGAGAATCGCGACTGGCTCTTGCGTGATGAGAATGTTAAAATTGAATGACATTTTGGAGGATTTAGAATCGATAGAAAATATTTGCTCTTTATAATTATACGCACTCGCATTTGTTGCCGTAATATAAATCGCAATTTGGTTTATGAATTTTACAAGAGAAAAATCATCTCTCTTGCTCTTTTGTTACATAAGATTCTATCTGTGCAATAGCAAACAACTGATAAGATATGAAATTAGTTTATATTAGATAAAGCTGTATACATGAAAACAAATTACAAATTTACTTTTAAGCTTCTCTCATTATTTATTTGACGCTACTAATTTACCGCAAAAATAATCGGAGATATAGATGATGTACAAAGATTATGATATTGATTTCGTTAATCGTTAATTGCGCGCGTATCGCACATTACAATGCGCTTTTAATTTGCGATACACACATGCAAGATCTCGGCTTATTATCACGAATTCGCGATAGTCGCGTTGATTATCAACAAAGACGAAATGTAAGGCTTATCTCTTTATGACCTTTGTGTGATACGCATTATATGGTACAGCGCGCAATTTGTCTTAATTAATGATCCATCGGAAATCTTCCCGAAGGCTCTGTAACGCTAGAAAACGTCTGTTTTTATAATAAAGCTTCATTTTCTTTTACCCGGCAAATATATAGACCGCTCTTTTGTTCTTTATGTATCGGCGCGGATTATGAAGAAAATTAATTGTTTCTCTCTCTCTTTCGTTCTCTCGAAGATGGATGCTAAAGTATCCATATTAAAGTTCATCAAGTCGGATCCGTTGTGCACTGCAGATGGCGCAGTGTATTACTGACGATGATTTAACACGGAAATGATTGCAAAGAGCACTCAGACTCCAAAGATCAGATGCTTGTGCACCGCATTGTCTGCCGACCGCGTTCGATTGTTGATCGTGTGTCGCGCGTCACAGCTGTGCGTTTTCGTGAAATTCGTTTGCACCTGAAATTCGAATCTCTCCACGAACAAGGCTTCGCGTCCACTTGGTTCACTGTCGTTGGCGATGATGAGCAACTACGGCGATAGCATTGTGTGTCACGCGCGGCAAGAGCTGACCAGTGAGGATAAGGAATATGCGGCGGTATATTTGAATGAGACCGACGAGACGAGAGAGAACGCCGTCGCGGAGATCAGACGTTGGATCAATGAGAGCGACGACTTGCGCGTACGAATCGGTAAAAATGACAGTGGTCTCGCATAGTAGATACGTCGAAATATCACTGAGTTTTAATTAAATTACGGTTGATTAATTCCGAAGCATAAAACAAAATTACTCGTAACCGGCGACGCTGACATTACATCTTTAGCTTGTTGAATGGGCTGAAGGATATAACGAATGATTTAAGAAAAGGAAAAGCAAAAGCAAATTGAAAGTCTTATTTTTTTTATAAGATATCGTTTATAATGATAAACGATGTTAAATTAGCGTTTTGACAAAAAATCGATCTGATTATATTATAACGAAGTTCGTTATTGTATTATTGCATTTCGGCATTTTTTAAACCAGTCTTTTGTAAACTCAGACTTTTACAGTATCTAAAGAAAATTATATTACTATATACTGCTATTTTATGTTTTTGATGGAATCGATCGGAATTGGTTATTGAGTAAATACTAAATAGTAGAAATAGCTTCTTATTTAAAATAAATTCTTAATTTGTATATAGATGACTTCCTTATTCTGCGATTTTTGAGAGTTTGCAAATTTAATCTCGAGAAAACAAAGATTAGGATGCAAAACTATTATAAGCAGCGATGCCAGTCACCAGAATGGTGTACGAATAAAGATCCGTTTCGACCAGAACTACAGGAACTGCTTGATTTAGGGTAACGAATTTGTTTTTCTTTTTGCTTTATCTATTTTGGATACATAGCAAAATACTTTAAATTTTATTAATTGCTTAAATATTTAGAAATTAATTTTGAATAACTTCCTTTTTTATTTTTACATTTTAAAGAGAATATTTTATTCAAAATCTTTAAAAATACTAAATGTACATTGTAAAATTGCAAGATATTTTTTCAAAGGGTTCGGAAATATTTTATTCGTGTTTAGGATATTTTTGCTCCTGCGGAAGCCGGATCATCAAGGAAGATTGGTTATTATTGTACGCGGCACTCGGCACGATCCGAGAAGGCACAACATATCAGACATAATTAAGGTAACAATTAAAGTAGTATAATGCTTGAATGATTTATCGATGTTGTCACAATGAATGAACGAATATTTTTAATTGTCGTCTGTTATTTTTTTGACCATCTTCTCTAGATCGGTATAATGGCAATGGAAGTGGTGATGAAGACTTATACCGCAGGATCTGTGTACGGTTGCTCAGTGTTCCTAGACGTAGCCAATCCAACGATGCGCCATGCTATTCAAATGCGGCCCCAAGTAGTAATGAATTTGATCCACACGTGGCAGAACTGCTATCCTATGAGAACCCAATCGATTAACGTAATCAACGCGCCCGAATATGTCGAGGTTGTTCTGAGAATTTTTAGATCCTTCATGACTGAGAAGATGAAGAACAGATTACACGTCTATAACGCACGAAAGACGAAGCAGAACTGTTTCAAGGATATTCCAGCTGACGTTTTGCCCATCGAATATGGAGGCACCGGGGGTACACTGCAGGAATTAACAGGTAATTATGGTAAATTAAAATGGAATAAGTGCGACGCACTTATTGAACGATAAAGGATATTTCTTATTAAGCACGTGTTGCCGAAGAGAAATAAACTTTTCACAGTTAAGATAGGCAATTGTTTGGACAACAATTATTACATATTTGCTAAGAGTTATTCATTGTACTGTGTATTAATTACGTATTTCTACTAATTACGCATATTTAGTCGTAATTCAATGTATGTGTAATACAAATATTCATTTTTCCAGCATATTGGAAGAAATTAATTGAGGAGAATCACGACTGGCTTATGGATGATGAGAACGACAAAATTACTATTTCGAAGTAAATTCAGCATCGACAAAAATGTGTGTTCTTAGCACTCGCTTGTATTCATAATATTCATTATCGTATGGAATGTAATGTCGGAAGTTGAACTTTCTCTGCAAATTTTTTTACGAAAAAAATTATTTTTTTCTCTTTTTCCTGCACAAGGGATTCTATCGGCGATAGAATATAATATAAAAGAAGAGATTACTATAGAACGTTTAGTAAAGAATAAACTTACTTTTAGTCAGTAGTTTATATTTTTAAATTACGTAAAAAATTCATTGTATTTATCTTGTACTTAAAACCTAGCTAGTTCATTTGATTTCTTTTATTATACATTTTTCTGCTTATACATTTTAATTAATCTATTTTAGATGTATAATCGAGAGATATACGACTATACGTATAATATACAAAATAATAATATAATTATTTATATGAAAATTTGTATTTGTATCTGTACGTATTTTATTTAAATGACTGGTACGTTGCGTAGTGTAAAAAATTGAGCATATTTTTCATTGCACGTTTAGCGTATTTTCTAAAAGATAAAAACACATTATGACGTCATTATGACCCGCGTATATAATGAGCGTGCATCAAGAGCTGACAAGCGAGAAAAAGGAGTATGCAATAGCATATTTGAACAATTAAGATTAATGAGATTAGAAGGTCATTGCAAAGTTGAAACGAATTGAAAAAACTACAGATAAAAATAAGCGATCCTACATAGCGGGATATTAAAATATTGTAAAATTCATACTCGATGAAATTCAATTGAAATTTATTAACTTCAGCAATAAAAATTATTTGTAACTGTACGTCAATTTACATCTGATCGTTTGCCCGATAAAATATGCTCGTAATGTGTATATTTGAAGTTACAAATGTTAAATAAATTATTATCTATCTGTAATTTAAATTTGAAATTCAATTAAAGCGGAAAATTTTAGTAGAAAAATATCAAGATATTACGTTCTCCGGAAGCAAAGAAAGAAGCAAATGAAGCAGGAAAAAAGAAAAAAATTAATCCTAATAAGCAGAGTTTGCGTGCTTAAAATGCGCTGGGAATTTTAATGCCAATCTGTTTGTTTAATGCAAATTTTTTAAACGTTTAAATGCAAAGTTGAAGAATAAAATTGCATGTTTACGCGATACACAATAATTTTACAGATATTCCAAACAATCTTGTTAATTATAAATTATGTAACAGATTACCGTAGATAATTACCGTAAACTAGAATAAAACGAATGTAATATGCATAATTGTTAGTAAATTAGTCAAGAATGCTTCTTATTAAAAAAAAAAATTGCAAAAGGAAAATAGCTTCTTGCTGCTAAGATTGCAATAAATTCAAACATTTGCTAATAGTTTATCCAATCTATATGTCTGTACGTGAATTTTCACGTTCATATTTGTATAATGTAACTTAAATTAACGCGTAAATTTATGTAAATTACATATTAGAAGAAAGTTATTGGGAGAAAATCGTAAAAATCGATAAGTACAGGACGACAATTTCGAAAGCACTTATAGATTTGATATAAATTGTTATTGAATTAATCCGCATATAGATCATATGAAATGATAAACGAGGAGCGAAAAATAGAAGCAGTTCATACTATGATCAAAAATAACATTAACTTTCTATGACAAGATATATGTACACATACATGAGTTTCATGTATCTTATTTTATATATATATGTATATATATATATATATATATATATATATATATATAATTAAAATAAAATATACATTTTTTTTATATTGTCGAGCTTTCTTTTTGCATCGCATATTTTCGGTGTTTTGTATTTGTTGTTAATGATAAACGCTGGCATGCAGTTTCCTCTTCATAACAATAATCCGCACGTAAGAATTGCACTTTACGCACAATCACAATATTATGTAATTTATTTACATATAAAATTCAATATTATCATTAAAAATTCTTATAAGTTGCAGCATACATATACATAAATCTGCGTCGATTGTTTTTCTTGAGGGGGATAATTATATTCTTTATAATTTATATTTATACACTGAAAGATTGTCACGTGTGGTAGATAATTTTTGTTACAGATATGTTATCGTAGTTCTCGAGCTAACATCAGATCATTATAAATGATAAAAATTTTCGATACGGTGTCGCTTTCTATTTTTTTTTCTGTTTTTTTTCTGTTTCCGATCTCGTTGCGATTAAATAAAATACGTACGTACTTAAAAGTCATGGGCAAGTAAAATCGCGCTACGATTAACCAGCTATTACCTATTAACTTACATGAACTTACTAACTACGATCCCATTTTCAATCCCGGGATGACGTTTACCAGGTCCCCTTCACCAGATCTCCAATAAGTGGTTTCGTAAGAATGTCGCATCGAGACAACCTAGTTACGATCTCCAGTGAGGATTATATGCGGTCCAGCGATGGTAGACCATCGCTCATTGTCCGCGATGCACGCGGCGGTATGCTTAATTGCAAGCGCGTAAATTATATTCGCGGTATTCCGGACGTAAATAAACGCGACGAGGGGGAATAGAATATCCGTTCTTAATATTCTTCACACGACACGCACAAGTGCTACAAAACGCACTTTTACTTTTTCTATAATATTTCTGCCCTCCTGCCAAATTACTTGAAATTCCTTTTTTTTTTGTAAAAAAAAAAAAAAGAATTAGGCACAAGTAAAACAGAATTCACATTCGTTCGAGACGTCGCGTGTCAAATCACTTTACTCTACACGAGTTTCTCTTTTCTGCGACACGCAGATTTTATAGGATATACTCCAGTTTTTACGTAAAAATAAGAAACCTACTTTTCTTTACATGTTCATATTAATAAATTATACTGTAAAGATAAATTAAAAAATATTATTAAATCATTCGAGACATTATATTGTCTGCAATTTCTATGTATGATACACGCTTTCCGCGGATTATCGTATTGAAGCTAACTCGGATCGACAGAAATGTCGCTGTAAAAGTCGTGTAAATGGAAAGCGCCGATTCTATTTCCCTCGATCGCGATCCTCGAGAAGATCGATTCACAGGGAGAATCCTGGCGGTATCCTCGGGCATCCGCGATAATTTTTACACACAGACGCCGAGTAAAAAATATAATAATTCCTACAGACTTCAAACACAGACGCACCGAGGCAAACGCGGCAGTCTCACGCATATCATTATCGTACATTTTATTTGAGAGTTCCTATTACGCATACAAACATACACACACACACACATACGTATAACACAGTCATACACATACGCGCGTGCACGCGCGATACGTGAGCTTTAGAAGCACATTAAAAACGCACGCAGGAGCATCACATGTATCGGAGGTCCATTCGCGGCGGAGAGTGCTGCGAGATCGTATTGGCGACACTCGGCACATCTGGAAGTCGATATATGTCGACCAAGATCCAGAAAATGCTCTGTACCGCCGGACATCGATTAAACGGTGGCAGTTGGACAAAGAGGTTTTCTCTTTTTAGGTAGGAGATACCTTTTTCAGATGTTATACGTTTCTAGATAGAAAGGACCCTTGAATTTGCCTAGAAAGACCTATTGAATTGCGGAACTTCTTCATGGACGACGTGGTCCAAGTAGAGGTTCTTCAATGCCCTTCTCGATCATCGATATCCAATTGCGTCTACAGTCTCCGCTAATTCTGTACGATTCCTAACTAACGCTCCGTTAATTTTGACCCCAGCTATAATACAGCTATGAAACAGGTGAACGAAGAAGATCGTTTTCGAAGGATCGCTTCGCTCCCGGGGTGGAAAACGCGTGATCCCGAGCCGCGACGTCACATCCGTCGAACACGCACATTCGTCACCGATTTCCCGACTGATTCGTTCCTCTTCGGGGAACATTTACTTCCTGATTGTTTACCCGTCGCGGAATGTTCACGAGTCACCGAAAATACAGTCTAAACGCGAGGGCGGAAGTTATACGAGTTGTCCTTATCCGCGCTTGAACTTCAGCACCAGCAGACTTATCGTGAGGAACACGACGATCCAGATGATGGTGGCGATGAAGCCGTTGTAGACATTCGGCTCCGTGATGCTCCAGCCTCGAGTCAGCATGGAGCGTAGGGCGGTCGTCGCCATCGTCAGTGGCAGACCTTGCGAGATATATCGCAGGAACGTCGGCATGCCCTCCACCGGCCATATTACACCTGCAAAACGGAATAATCAAGTGAACGCTGCAGAAAGAATGCATTCGATCAGTTATCTTCTTCTTTTTGCATTTGTTTTTTCTCAATTCGATTTAACTTTTGCGTGCTCGATTTTGATGACAAATTTTTATTTTTAACGATTACTTCTTCGCGTCTTCTATGTAGGCATTTGAAATATTTAAAATATTAAATTTACGCCTCATTGTCAGACGAGAAGATTCCTGAGCGAACAGTTTGTGTAACGATTCGATTAGAGCACGGCGCGCGTGAATAAGTATTGGCCGACTTTCACTTCTGGTGTGGTAAACATTTCAGCGCCGAGTGACATTTAGCTCGGAATGATCGCCTATAGTGTATAAAAGCGACGGATTTGATTAAATTCATCGAATACGAGATGATTGTCATATTTATTTTAAACATCGGGCGTATATTGTCAATTCAATCCGATCGAAAAATCGATAAAAATAACTAATATAAGAATCGCGAAACTCTGTTTCAACTCTCGCGCAAATTTCATATGTAATCAGCAAAAACTTTAAAAATCCCGATTGTGTTTAATTATTATATTTCTATGACAAACTCTATTTCATACATACCGCTGAGAAGAAGCGTGGGATAGAAGCTGCCCAGAGCCAGCTGGATGGCATTCCTTTCGAGTTCGCAAATCGCCGAAATCACGAATCCTGCGTAACAGGAAAATCCAGATTGTAGCGTATCTATCTTTTTGTGTTCTAATCGTTAGAATTTGCTCGTTTAAAGAGATAAGGAGATTGCATATTTTTTTATTTGCACTTTTGTGAAAGAAAAGCTCTTTCTAATTAGAAATTGCAAATCGTCATCAATTCATGGTATTATCATAACGAATATCATGAATGCGAATACATCGTGAATGAGAGAAGCTGCCTCGTCTTACCGAAACACATGCCACAGAGTCCCTGAAGGATCGTCAATATGATAACCCAGCCGATGTCGCCTTTACATTCGACGCCGAATACCAGGATCATGAAGATCAACACCAGAGCAGTCTGACCGCACATCACCACGAATTGCGTGACCACGTGGGAGAACAGGATTTCACCGGGCGATACGCCAGCTACCCAACTTCGGTCCAACAGACCCTCCATCCTCTCGATAATCAGCGCCGATGACGTTAGCGCGACCGCCAGGAAGAAAACAATGCTGTCAACCAAAGTCAACTTTAAAAAATTGCAACTTTGATTTATTGAACATACAAAGATCTTTGACTTTATAAGAATGAAGAAAGGAAATAAATTGAATCAAATAAATATTTAACTTAAATATCAATTTAACTTAAACTTAAAAATGTATAAATAAATTAAATATTAATGAGCTTACGTCAGTATTACACCTGGTGCCACGAAATCCGTGAAGCTGGGCTCGTTGGTACCGTAAATAGGCTCCTTGAATTGAATTGGTACGTCAGCCAGTTTCGTATTCTGTCCACAGGCCGACAAAAGATCCTTGGCAAAATCTCTATACGAATATTGAAGATTTCTCGACAGCATCAGGCCCACTTGTTGATCTGAAATTGTGAGATTTTACAGCATGTATTCAAAGTAGACGGCATTCGAAATGTGGCTATTAACACTGTCTGTGTAATGTAAATTACATTGATGAGTCAATGCGTCGATGAATAGCAACTGCTTTAATAAAGCTAGTGTGAAAAAGAAATAAAGTTCGATATTACCAGGCTTGGTCATTAAAAGAAATACGGATTAAGCAACATCCCAGACAAAACATATAAAGTCCAAAATCAGGCTGTGAAACGTCTTAAAAATGTCGAAAAGACGCTTTAAAGACATTTTTGTGAGAGAAGTCAAAAAGAGTCTTATAGGAAATTATGTTGTCTGGGATAGCTTTAAAAAAAAAAATAATTTATCGATACAAAAATATATTTTTTTGGAAATAATAAATAAAAGAGTAGAAATTAAAATATAAAAGAATAAAAGTTAAAATAAGTATATAAATATCAAGAATATAAAATCAGCACGCGAAATATTTCACAATGAGATAAACCACACAAAGTGCCACAAGTAAAAGCTTGGCTTTATTATCTAAGAGTTATTAATGCACCTACTGCTCTACCAAATACTTACTAGACATGTCCAGCCAAACTCTGATTTCGCTTTGATCGAGAGTTTCATCATCGGCATCCCTTCCTAAGGCCATTCTCGCCACCAGGGCGTCCGTAAAGTTTTCCGTAAAGTACAAAGTGCCCCAAGCTTCCCCTCTGCGTACAGCTTCCATCCCCGATTCCGGATCCGGATAATATGACTGCAAGAATATATAAATTCAAATAGAAAGAGACGAAAGTCGCGTCTATTATACACTAGTTGCAAATTGATTTTATTTTGTTTAAAATTGTATCGATTATCTTGTTCGCGCTTATAATGTATTTCTGTACGTTATATTGTATATTTTATATATAATATCTTGTATCTTTACTATATTTTGATATAACAATTAAGACCTTTATCATTGTCTCGTTGTCCAGGAAGTTGAGATATCGACAACTGAGATACGTGAAACTGCAGTTCGTCGAAACGGGACATGTCATATTCTCGTAAAACATCTCGTGGTTCACTATGGCCAGTTTCAGTCCTGTGGGATCTCTTCCGATCGCCAGACAGAAGAGGATGACTTGCATTACCGGCAGGGCGAAAATGAACAGCATCACGCTACGCGAAAATAAATTGTTGCGCAAGACATTAACATATCTTTTCAAGTGATATATTTAAGCAACTGCTTATTTATCATTTCTGTTAAATTATTTATTATATGTAAGTATGTGTAAATAATTATAAGTTTTAAGAGAAATTTCATCAAAATACATAAATAACGATAAGGTCAGCGTATACGAAAACTTTAGTGTTATTAATTGTTATGCCGTCCCCTTGAAAAACGTACCCGATGTTTCTCCACATGCGCAAGAAGTTTTTCTGCAGAAGCGCTTTGATCTTGCCCCAACTGGTGAACTTATAACAGTCCGTGAAGTCGCCGCAATCGTCGCATTCGAGGACAGAACTGGCTTTCGCACCCGGCAGTGATTTGCCATTTATCTGTATTCCAAAAACCGTCGTTCATATTAAAATGACTGTAAATGTGATTAACCAAAGTTTTATAACAATAATTTAGAGTTTTATTCCGAGTTTATATAATTTTCTTATTCAGCCTCTTGGTCAAGAATTAAGCATTCGAGCATTAATTCTGTGCATGTTCTTTTCAAAAACAAATATATAGCTAATACTGATTGTAATAAGAGGGAAAAAAACCAAATTTACATTTTTAATCTAATATCTTATTTTTTATACATAAAAAATGTGCAACAACATAAGTACTCGCATGCGCGGGACAAAAGAGGAAGCGCGCGTGTGTACACTGCTGTTTTTAAGTGAACTTAATCCGTCGTGAGACGGATTGCACTGTAGTAGTTCCTTACGTCGTAATGATTCGCTATTCCATTGGTGGAGTCGTAGATCAAGACCTCTTTGCTTTGATGGAAGTTGAGGCCGACAACGCCGGACTCCTCCGTCACGTACACCGGCTCGTCTTTTTTTCCCCAGTTTAAAGAAGCCTGTGCGCAAAGAAAAAGAAGCGTGTGGCCGATGGCAATGAAACGTGATGATATTTAATTGATGTAAGATAATGCAAGATCGTCTGCGGAACGGATAAATAATTTTTTGCACGACACGTATATTGATCACATGTATCAGTTAAGTAGACGATGTAAAGACATTCGATGAGATGATGCAACGTAATATATTTTAGAAGTGTTTTACTATAAATTAATATTAACATATAATGTAGCAGAATAAATAAATATAAAAATTTAGAAATGAGAAATAAATATTGAGGAATCAAAAGGAAGTTAGGAAATCTCGAGGGGAATTAAAAATTAAGATTAAAGTTGAATTGACGCGATGACATTGATTCCGAAATATTTGAATAGATAATAATACACTATTATATACACAAGAAAGTACTATCATATAATAGAGACAACACTCAAATTACTTGAATTTGATTGTCTCTCACACGGTGCAACGTGCCAAACTCATTAATCTTAAATTTGCGCAAAAATTGCGAAACAATACATGAATAAGTGTCAAAATGGAAAATCTGAATTCTTCTTTTGCTCACCAAGCTGATGTTGTTCGAGATATTCAGTTCTGTCGTAGGTTGAGCATACTGTCCCTGCTTTCTGGACAGCTTCAGGAAGACTTCTTCGAGGGAGGCGCAGTTGTACATTTGCAAGAGAGTTCTGGGTGCCTCCTCGGCCAACAAATGGCCGCTCCTCATCAAACCGATCTGTTAAAAGAATTAACGTGTTAATAGAACTGTTTTTTATCTGTTATTATTTTATCCTTATTATTTTTGCGATTCATGGCAAATTGACCGTTCAAAGACATGAATTTACGTTTCAAGACGAAAGACTCACATATATGGAACATATTAAAAGCTTCTATAAGAAACACTTAAATACATATTTTTCTGGTTTTCTTAGCAATTTTAATAGTCTAATTCCGCATATTTTTTTTTTTTCATTGTGAATTTTAACCGGAAGAAAACGACGAATAAATCTTCGTCGAAAGAGGAAATTTTTCAGGACGATGAAAGCGCAAAGTATTCTGATGTTATTTATCGTGACTTACACGAATTGCAGGCAAAAAAATCGAGATTGGTCTCTCCGCACTATAATTTGTACCTGGCATAATATGCACGTAGAATAAACAGCCAATGGCATAGTAATGACATGCAATCAACCAACAGACGTCAATCGTTGATAGTATTTATTATTAATGCGGCGCAATTTATATCGATCAAGAAAGAGAGAGGGAGAGATCGTAATATTGATTTATTTATATTAATTGTTCCTCCAATATTAGACACTTTTACTTAACATTGACTAACTTTAATCGGAATATATTTTTTATTTCAATTTGTCGGAGGAAGAGACTCCTAATTACTTCAAGATTAAAGTTAACCGATGTCGGCAAATCGATGTCTAATTAAACAAAGGACGACGACATTACCGTGTGCGCTTGTCGAGCTTCTTCGATGTAGTGAGTCGTTATGATGACCGTCTTGTTACCATCTTTGGTAATTTGAACCAGATGATTCCATATACTGGAAAATGAAAAAGAACGAGGCATATCTTAGTCATGCGTATTCATTTCAAGCCAAATAACACGTTTGTATCATCATTTTTAATTATATAAAAATATTTGAATACATATATACGTATAATTATATATTAATGTTTGATTGATAAAGAAAAATTAAGTAAAACATATGATTGTAATAGGATAAAAATACAAAAATACATGCAAACATATATTATTTTTTGCAAAGTCACTAGCGGCCAACTCCAGCGGTCGTGAGTCAGATTCCGATCAGCCGTTCTTGATTATTCTACGATCCAGGGGAAGGGGGGAGAGATTCATGCGATCGTCATTTGCAACGTGATCGGGGTGTGCATGCGTGTTTATCTGTGTGTGCATACACATGAATCTCATGTATTATTTATGCAATATATCCCGGGCTTACTGCGATTCTTGCGCGGCATCTTGACTTCTCTCACACCTTGAACCTTATAATGTCGGACTAAAAAACGTCGATAGGATTTTTTCACGTTGAGTATAGGTAAAGGAAGCATTGTCGCGCGAAACGCAAAGAACGCGACGCGGATTTGCAGAACCGTGTTCGAAAGCGAGGATTCACTTTTCACGAACGGACTAATTTTTCGAGCTAACCGCCGCGATGTCCCGCGTGATGTTAAGATCAGCCGACAATTTACAAAACTAGACCGTAACAAAGTAAAAGTCGAAAGTCGCAGTGCTCGATGTAGACACAACGTTTGAATCACTATATGTATATATTTATTACATACTGACATGTATATACATATATTTTAAAATTTTCATTATTGACATATATATATATATATATATATATATATATATATATATATATTCTAGAATATACATATATATACGTATATGTATATTCTAGAATATCACTAATTTTTTCATGTAGAAGAATCATTTATTTAACATGTCTCGAAAGTAACGTAATTGATAGGAGAAAGATTACAGATACAAATTTTTAGTGCTTAATCTATTTTATAAAGTTTAATACTTCCTATTACACGTATTGTATTAGTACATTAAAATTATCGTTTAGAAGAATTTAAAAAATCAATATGAAAATTGATAAATCTTAAAATAATCACGTATGCTGCACAGTTGATATAATTCACGTTAGAAATTCAATTCGTCAGCTCAGCGAAGCGAGATAATTGATGATTGATTACTATAAATTACAACATATTTTTAAAGCGGAACATCCCGAAATGCGATTAAATTGAAAGCGAGCCACGACTTTCCTAGTAATATTCTTCTGGAAAGTGATGCGGGTCCATAAGCGTTTCGAGACAATTGTGCGCGACCGAGGAATGAGAAAAATGAGCTGAGATGTAAACGGTCGTAACAAAGCTGTAAACTTTCTCAGATAATGAGGCGAAGCGCTTAAAGCTTTTGCTTTAATGCTCAAGTAATTGTATTTTTTTACTTCTTCCGTATGTTGAAATTTATTTACCTCGGCAGACGAAAAGGGAGGCGAGATCTCCCATAACTATAAAATAAATTAAAAGTATTGCAGTATAAAACGCCAATAAAATCTACGCTTATGGATACCCGACTCGGTGTATATAGCGGTTCCTAACCGTTTACACGAGTTTTATTTCTGCCTCATCTGCGTCACGTATAAATGCGGTCGCGAGAACACCTGGGAAATCTACGCACCGGGGAAACATCGCATTAGCGGAAGCGAAATGCAGAAGATGACAACGTGGTAATTACAGTAATTGATTTCCCGTTATAAAAGCAGGATGTTATTGTGGAAAGCATCTCAGTTAATTATCCGCTTCATTTATTTTCACAAACGAAAGCGATCATTCTTCTCCTGCGTGAACAAACTTTGTTTCCTTCGCACAGTCGAAGATAAAACGTCATGCGAGAATAGATTTTGCAACTATTCTTCCATTAATAATTACTGTATTTGTGAGTTAATTCAACATGAATCCGTTTCCGATATATTTACTTTAACAATTCGTATTTTTTTAAAATATTTTTCTAAAGCTTGTTTTGTTCTCTTTTTACTTTACTTTTATGTATTTGAGTTATATTTTCGCCTAATATAATTTAAATATTTATAAGTTAACAGCCTTGTACAGTAGCAGCTTGACATGTTATTGCTCGGAGCGTCTCACATCTTCACATAAATGTATCTGTATTTCAAAAGATTTTAATGAAATATTTATCATGCATGTATGTCAAGAAACAGTAATTATACGACTAAAGCTAAAAGAGCGTCATGGTTATTATAATGGGATTTAAAACCGGTCGATTAAATATTTCAAAAGTCAAAGCCCAAAGATGGAACACTTTGAGAAACTTCTCTGTAAACCTAAAGCGAATTTTAAATTTGTCGACACATTAAATTCACGTTACTCGTTTCATTATGTATAGGTAGCTACAATTTTTTTTTAATGTAACACGAGTCTCGAGTGATTTGATGGTGGATAGAAGCAGTAAAAGGCAGCGTGAGAAATTACGAGACGCGGCGCGCTTCGACAAGTTTCATTTTTCTTTTTTACTTTTCGTCATTCGCCGCCCAGACGGGCGATACTATACTTTCACTTAAAGTCAAGCTTAAAGCGTGACTTACGGATTCAATGCGCATTGATCACGAGATCCGATGGTATGCGCTACTTAATCTCGATATTTAGATTTTCAGCGAAAGTGCGACGGAAGAATTCCCGTCATTCTCGAGTACGCTCTCTCTCTCTGTCCTTCCTTATTTCGTTTTTGCTCTCAGTCGAGAATAATTATGAAATAATGAAGTCATTGAGAGGACCTCTTTTAAAAAATCTCTATGTTTAGAATGCACTTTTTTGCGGCACTTTTTAGATAATTAAGCGTTAATAATAATAATAATAAATAATATTAATATGGACAATTAGAAAACATTTTGAATTTATGTTAGATACTTTGCTCCCGTGTATAGTTGCGACGCATATTAATAGTTTATAATTTATTCAACCATTTCATGGTCGACATTAATAGTCGCCAATGATATTGAATTTATCATAAGCGTGTTATTATGTGTCATTAGTGGTACGCTCTAATGACTGGAATAGTGACCAGAAGATCCATTCAACATGGGTCACGGTTTGTCACGTTAACTAATTATACTAATTTCAAGGATGATTATTGTCTATCTGTGTGCCGATGTATCTCGTGTTTATAAAAGTCAGTTATTAACTGTATTCGTGAAACTGTACAAATAACAGCTATATAAGACACAATGCGCTCTCGCGACTGAAATTTATTTAAAAGAAAAGATCACGCACCTTTGTCTTAACAGCGGATCCACACCTACGGTTGGCTCGTCCAGGATCAGCAATTCCGGATCGTGCATGAGAGCCACTGCGAACGACACTCGCCTTTGTTGACCGCCACTAGCGTGAAGAAAAAAAAACATCCAATATTAATTTTTTTTTTGTGAAGTGCAAATGGACTATAAAACAGATACGCAATTTTTTTCCAAGAAATACACGTCCGCAAAGACTGATAAATTTTTGCAAATACGTTTTTATTGAATTTGATCCGAGATTTTAATATTGTTTCTGCGTACCGATGTTCAATCGAAGATTAACGTTCCGTCTGCGCGGTCACGGACGCGAAAAATCCATACCTGAGATTCTTCACCAAACGATTCTGCGAAGGCAGATCAAGAAACTGCAGTAAGAAGCGCAGCCTCTCGACGATCTCGGCCGTGCACATTCCGAATATCCAGCCAAAGTACATCATGGTCTCGCGGATGGTGAACTCGCCGTAGAGAGCGGTCTCCTGTGGCATGTAGCCGACCCTTTTCCCAGGCACCCCGGAGCCCTTCGTCCCGGGTTTGCCGCCCAGCACCCAGATCTCCCCTGAGTTTAGTCTCCTCCGGCCGACGATGCAGGACAGCAGGGTCGTTTTGCCGCATCCGCTGGCGCCTAGCAGTCCGTATCTAATGCAAACAATTCGTAATAATTTAATTTCACGCTCAACATTCGTGCTGAATCGAATCCAGATCGAGTAAGCGAGCGCGAACAGATGCAAACGAACGAATAATATGCTTTAATAAGAGTGAATGGCGTTGGCATGATCAGAATCTAAAAATCTGGCTTTTAGGACGCGAGAAAGTAAATCACAAATTAAGAAAAAATCTCGGTATCTTAAAAACTTTGTTAAGGAAGAAGCCCGCTCGAAACTCGAGACACCTCGTATAAGAGACCAAGAGACGAGAAAACAAGTTGGCTGATGAAAAACATTTATGTGTATATATCCCAGAGGCTTTAGCCTTCGAGACCGTCTCTGAATATGAATAGACAAATCAATCGCTTCATACAGAAGAGCGTCATTTACATTTGCAATTTTCATCAGAATGCTAACGAAAGCGTAGTTTAACCAACTTGGAAGGTGGTCCTTGAAGTCCAGGCAAATACAAGAGCTCTCAGGGATTATATATAACTGTGATACTAGCGATTTCACCGGAAATCGAACGATACAATTGTTTGCATGACTGATAAGCGCTCGCGCGAGAGCCAGCTCTCGTCAAACGGAACAAAACGAGCGTCACCGTCATCACGCTCGTCAAGAAAATTCGTTGAATCACAAGAAACAAATAATCAAATTGCAATGATGAGGGTGCGTTTGAAGGCCGAACGCGAACATGTACGTGATGTAATCAGCGGCGAGGCGAGATTGAGAACATAGGACTTGGGAACCCTATTGCCTTTAATGAATGAATTATAAAGAAATTGTTATTGATTATACATTACACTTTCTTTCTCTAATGATAGAATATTTCTACGTAGACTACGGGCATAATTCACCACTTGTCTATTTCCAACATTCTTTCTCAAACATGGATTTTTACTTAGTAAAGGCTAAATTAAGTAAAAAAAAATGACAGACACTTGCATTTTTACTTGTCATAAACGACTAGAATATTCTAAGACTCTGTATTTTTCTGAAAACTTTTTCACAAAAGTAGATTAGATTTATATTATGTAGTAGTTAATTAGAATTTACATATGATTCATTTTATTGCAAAAAGAATCGGTACATTTCCGATTCGATCAGAACATTTTAAAATTCTTTCAATGTTAGTAATATTAGATGAAAGTGGATACGTACAATTAATCGATTTGGAGCGGCAATTAATCATTATTATCGTGCAAACTCGACTGAAGTCTTGTACCAATTATGCCTGACAGCAAAAAACTATAACTAAACTGGATACTAAAATTACTATAACTGGAAACTGGAAAACAGGAATGTAAGAAAAAAACAAAGCGGATTTTCTTACAATATTTGAAATATCTTTAAAATTTAGTTTTTGTATCTGTCTCGCTGTCTCTCTCTCGTATAAATAATTATCCTTATTTATAAGGCATTCAGGTATTAATTATCTCTGTGACTGCGAGAAGGTCAAAAACAAGGCGTCCTCGATCAGCGATTGAATTTTTTCACGAAAGGATGTATAGTACAGTTTCACATAAAAAAAGAGTTTCATTCGAATAATAATAAGTATTATAGCATACTAAGTCAATCTAATAAAATCTTACGATTTAATAAATCATTTAAAAATCTCATTCTGTCAGGATCTATCAGGTGAATTTGTCCAAGTTTGGAGAACGAGGTTTAATAATCGCGGAGTTGAGGAAATATGGCAGTTTCTACCGGTACAACATTAAAAACATAACTGTCGACATATTTCCAACGCGATTATTGCGAGTCGCTATTAAGTTGTTTGATGAACATTTTATTTCGTCTACTTAGAGCACGCCGCAAAAGTGTACTATTATATCCTTCGTACGCTTTGTGTTCTCGCAATACGTACATAATTCTAGTTTCTGGCACAATTTAAACTAAAAGAAGCGATTGTACAACTCGAGATGCATAATTTACATCAAATTGTTGTTTCAACTTTGCGGCGGTTAACACGAAAGGGTACATAATCGCGTATCCCAATCGCATAGCGATTACGAAACGCGTACCGAAATGATTATAACGGAAATTATCGTTTGAAGTGTTTTAATTTCCTGGTAGCCACGTACTCCTTACATTGTTGTGTTTTCGCATTATGAAATAACTATCACGATAGATCCTTATCGCATATCGAGATCTCCCGGGATTTGAGCCATATTTACCGCGGCCGAGGGATCGCGTTAATTAATTGCGCGCCAGTGCAATGTATTAGTCGTTACAATAAATAGCTCGTTAAGATAGAAAACGAGTTTCTTCGCGTCGCTTTCTCGGTGTAACACATTAAGCAGAAACGCATAAATACGCGCGATTTTTCGCGATTTCGATCGCCATTACGTCAGGAGAAGTATTAAGATCAGGAAGTTAGGCAATATCTCGAGGGCAACAAATTTATAGCGATATTAATCATATGTATACGTATAATAATATGGAAAATAAAAGGAGCTGCATTATTAAGATCACTGTCATCATCTTGTTGATGTTAATCTGCTTCGAATGTATTTACCAGACAGATCGCAATTCTTTGCGTTGACATCTCTGATAAAATCACATCTCGCGGGATCTTTATTAAATAATCGTATACGGTTAAATAATCGTTGTACTTACATCGAGCCCTTGGCCACCGTCATGCTGAGATTCTGTAGGACATGGTTCGGATTCTTGCTGCTGCCGTAGCTCTTGAAGGCGTGCCTGACGCTGACCGCCTGCTGACGATTCCAGGTGGGGTTGTTGAGCCCCGGCGTCGCCAGGGCGGGGTTGCTCGACGTCACCGTCGCCAGGTCCATGTTGCTGTCCGCGTTGCTGCTCTGCATCGTCGTCGCGTTCGCGAGACCGGCGGCACCCGCACCTCCGTCGCTGCAAAACGAAAGCGCACGTGACGGTAACGAGAAAGTAACGATGGAATTACGGCGAAATGACGCCGATATCTTTGTATTGCTGTCTTGTGCGATAGTAATTTGGCAGAGAAAGAGATCTCTCTCTTTGCGTCGGCGGTTGCATTGCAAGGCTTATTTGCAGCGTGTCGTGTAAAATTGCTATGTGGAACCTCCGCAACAGCGGAACGTTAATTGCAATGTGCTCTAATAAGAGTGAACTATTGTATTGCCGTTTCTGTGTATAGAAGACGTGTAATAGAAGATACGATTAAGTGTAAATTGAAAAACCGACCATGCGAATTTTTCCTAATTGGAAAAGTACTTCCCTTTTATTTCGTTGAAAATGAAGAGAAATGTTTTCCTCAAATCTCATTGAAATAACGAAGAAACAGTTAAATTGAAAACCAACTGATTTTCTTTTAAGCGCAGGTCTTTAAAAAATTTCGAATAAAAATAAGAAAATTTTCTGAAATTTTCTTATTGTTGGAATTCTAAAAAAACTCAACATACATATATTGATATGTGAAAAATGATATCCTACAACGGACGGCCCCCAAACAGCGACGGCCATGTGAAATTGTCGCGTGTTACGCGAAGAAATGGCGAGAAACGATTCTGCAAATCTCGGCGCGGATTGCGCGGCGTGCGTATAGAAAGAGTCGAGCGATGCGGTTGCGTAATCGGGCGCGCGGCTTTCTTTTCGCTTACGCGCGTGGCGATTCATTGGGCAATACGTGGACACGATCGTGCGTGTATGTGTGTGTGTGTATGTGTGTGTGTGTGTGTGTGCGCGCGCGCGCGCGCGCGCGCACCGCCGCGTGTTTAACATACAGGTGTACTCCGGGGATGCGGAATACGTAACGCGTGTGCGCGATGCAGCGCGGCACGCGCGCGTGTAATGCCGCGCGAGCGTGAATTCTCGCGCTCCTGTTTTCGCGTATGCATCGCGCCGCGCCGCGGCCGGCATTCGGCGAGTCCCGCGTCTCGCGATTTCCCTTTCTGAAGGCAATGGCCCGAATTCAGGCAGCAGCTCGAGCTCGAAATTATTGTATCGCCTTCGATAAAAGATACCTTCGTTCTAATTATACGTCGTCCGGGAAAGCGTTTCCCTATAGCCTATTGAGTTGTCGGCAGACTTCTCCCTTTTTGCTCGACGCGTTTAATTGGAAGCGGCGTTGCTTTGCTATACATTTTACCATTACTGTCCGTTGCGCAAATTCAAGCGATGAATTATAGCCCAAAGAAATCGATCGTCGAACAATGATCTGAATAGACCGTTATCTCCAGAATATAATTGAAGAAAGTTTCAAACCCAGTTGCCAGTAAAAAAAAAATATTAATTGTGATAGAGAAAAACGTATAGTTATTATGAACATGCCAGTAGTGTATTAAATCAGTTGTACGTTAAAATAACACTAAAGCAATCGCGATTATTTTTCATCTATACGCGCGCTTGATTCGTAAATACATGATTTCAAAAATAAATAGGCTGGATATATATATGAACGCCGGCGGCCTTAATATCGCATTGCAAAACACGCGTTTTCTGAAGTTTTCACGCATATTTATTCGCTGGATTACCAGGCATTGCGCTCGTGAAGGGGAATGATTTAGCAACGTTTTGCTGCACGTAATTACACGGAGTTATAACCGTCGGGCACGTATGCCCGTCTCGGACTGCGTAAAAAACTGTATCGTATGCGTCTGTGTCTGCGAAAATATCGCGTAAAAACGCGTGCGCACGGCCGCGACCGCGTACGAAAAACTTCGCAGTGCAGTCCGACCCGAGCTGCGGACGGCACGAGATTACATCACGATTCAAACCGGGTTTTTAATGTTTGAAGCATTAGCATTGAATTAGAATGTAGAAAGTCTTGCGGATTCATTATTAATTGCCTGCGTAATTGGCTGCTATAGAAGCGGCCATTAAAAATCAATTTGAATTACTATATAAGATCGATTATATATTATCAAAATCAATTCTATTCACTTTGACGTTATGATTTGCCGATCGGGCCCCACGTGGCGGCACGTCTGTTAAAATAACATATTGACTATTCCATAATTACTTTCCCATCAGGTTAATTAATTACTTGACTCTCTGCTCTATCCTTCGAGATAACACACCTATGTTGATCTGTGCTAACGACCAATCTATTTCTCTGCTGCAGCGGACAATTATATCATAAGTGACGGACGTTTGCAGGCATAATAAAGGGAGACAAGCGACTCGTTATTTCTATTAATACAGATATATCCGGTGATACGAAAAATAAGTAAGAAAATTGACTCATTGTGATCAATTAATTTTAATTCACGGAACTTATAGAAATTAATTGAGGCACGCGACAACGTTTCGATGTCACATAATTAACGTTAACTATGCGTAACGATTTGTGACTTCATTGATGTGTGACGTTAATCACAATTTGCTATTAGTTTCCTTGACTACGTTGCGCATGCAACGTATCTACATGTTTTCCTATATATGTTGCTGAAATAAATTATTCATCTTAATACTGATGAATTCGCGTTGAGGAACTCGTACAACACCGTTAATTTATCATATTATAAACTTTTATATTTCGTGTATAAATATTTGATATAGGCAATAACACTTCGATTTTAAATGAAAACAACGACTGAAACAAAAAAATAAAGCTATTGTATGAAATATAAATTAAATAAATATACATAAATTTTTATATTTAATATATTTAGATGTCGAAAAATAATATCTAACATTAATATATGATTTTACACGATAATGTAACACATAAAAAAATTGTACGTATTCCATCTTACTGCAGAGAAAATTTAAATTTATTATTACGTATGCATTTAATAATTACAGATAAGTGCATCGTAACTGCAAATAAATTGCCGGTGTCATTGGAGGGAATTCATCGCTATGAGCAAACGATCTTCGGTTTATCTATCATCTATGTAGGTCGACACGATGGCAATAATATGGTTTTTGCGATATACATGTGAATCCTGCGAATCGTGATGCATTGCGGCAAACGGGTTACAATACCGGACGCGCAGAATGCGTATTACAAGAAAGAAAAGGAAAAGGCCGGACTGTGTGGCATTGCGCAATCTTTGCGGCGAATTCAACGTCGTAGGAAAGAACACGAAGACGGAGACGCTTCCGGATACGCTAATAATGCGATTGTCGATCGCACGCGATCTTTTACAAAATGACGATCGTGTCTGTTCCGATTAAGGGCCGCTTATAGCGGCGATCTATAATTCTAGGAATTCACGACGGAGTTCCGTCTATAATATTTTCTTTACGTGCGTAAGATAGGCAAGAACACTCGGAGATTTGAAATGCACGCGTGTATAAAATGTGTATCTCGAAAATAGATGCATGACGCATAAAATCATAAACATAGAATTGCAATCGCGGCCTGCAATCGGGTGAATTTGCACAATTGCCCGCGTGCAACATGCGTGTAACGTGCGTGCTTCGGTAAGAAATGCAATGTCGCAGCCGTAAAAATGTAGCGTTGCGAGGGGCAACGCTACGATGTGTTTCGAGAAATATATGTTGTGCGCACACCTTTCGACTCCTGCATATCAATTGTAACGCGCAATCATAATGGAGCAAACAGGTATAGATATTTTGCGGTGCGCAAAAACAACATTAGCACTGCAGAGATATCTCGATGTAACGATAAGATCAGTGCGCTTGTGTGAAACTTGTTTATCAGATAATTATAATAATCAAAACATGATTGCAACATCCAGTAAACACACACACATCGAAATAAATAACGGAGATCCAATTGAGACTGTTTATTAAGAATAACCTTTGTCGATCAACCAGTCCCTGCGACGTAATTTCGGTGACCAACACGGCGCTTGATGGTATATCGCCGACTCGAGCCGCATGTCGTCTAGTTTTTCTTACTCTAGATATGAAATATAGATTAATACAGCCTGTCAGATGGAGAAAATGTGAACATGTACATCACATAATTATTACACCACGATTATTACATCACACATTACATCACGATTAGCGATGAATTCATTCTCTCATTTCATTTTATAGTTGAATTTAACGGAGTACCATATGTCGTAATATATCTCATTAATTTCAATGCTTTTTGTCAGAAAGTTATCGTACCCGCCACATTACTGAAAATATTATTAGAGAAAATACAGAAATGGAAAAACACCTTATGCATGAAAACATAACACGATTAAAACATTTTGTTGCTAAACCTCCTTTTCAGCTAGAAAATTTTTTTCTTAAACCATAGAAACATTGAAGAAAGTTTAAATTTACGGTAAAACATACAGCTGAGATTTAATATATAATATAGTTATGTTAATATCGCACGTAATTTCGAGTACTTCGCACGTAATCGATAACTCATGCCATTGTTTATCTCGACAATAATAGCGAGAATCTTCCACAAATAGTAACGAAATGAGAATTTTCATTTGAAGCCATCGCTAAGAAATTGCGAGTAGGTAGGACAAGAGTCCTTTACCGATCGGATTGCGTTCGCTGCGTGAGCTCGATCTCGGGTAATTGTAACGTTGTGGACAACTTGTCGCGCCGTTTGCGCCGCGCAGTCGTCTCGCGTCTGCGGAAGAAGAAAGCCATGTGTCGCCGTTGCAAGCAATCATTCTAACGCGATTAACCTTCGTGTTTTCTTAATCGATTCGATAAATGCAGCTCGGTTTTTTTTGCACTATTCGTTCGCTTCAATATTCAATGACAACATTGAATAACACAGAAAATGCGGAACGATATAATTCTCACGCCGGATAAAAATAATAAACTTTGATAATAGTAATAAATTAATAATATAACAAATAATTGTACAACAGTTTAATAGGTGATTTTTAGAAAAACGTTTTTTGGCTTTTGTGTTAAATAAATTTCAACAAAATATATAATACGAAGGTCAATACGATCGGTACAATTATCATTACCGGTTATCGTGTGTCCGTAATACGAATTTCGGTCTGGCTTTGATCGTGGGCGGGCACGATTTGACGTTCCGTTTGCGTCCCATAGCTGCGTTTGGCCTGCGAGAGGAAAAGCATATTTCCGTCGATGTGAAAATAATTGAATCTGAGATTGACGCAATCACCCGTTTTGCCCAGCTTTAATCGTAACGACATATATCACACACATTCGTACACATACCGTGCACATATGTAAAGCTTGTTTTAGCTTCACGGTTTTATTACCATTATTATTATTACATTAGTATGTACGTGGAATCAAAAGTATTTCTAAGTTATGGTTAAATGGTTGATGTGAAATAAAGATATGTAACGCATTTCTATATGATAACACGCTGAAAGATTTTATCTATGACTCAGCGCATTAAGTTTCCGGGTTGAAAGAGGGAAAGAGAAAATAGACGTCAGTTCTGATTGTTCATAAAGTATGTCTCTGTGTTACAGAATAAAGTAAACCTCGGCGCTTGGCAAAATCGATTGCTCGATTCAAGGTTACGTTTACTCCTTTAGACCCTACATCTTCATCGATCCGCGTATTTCTTCTTGTTGTTTATTGAATCATTGTACCGAAATTGGTTGTAAAGCTCAGCAAATAGTGGACGCAAATAAAATCGCTGAGGAATAAGCAATAACTATTATACAATCCTTCATATTAATAGCTATAAGTAATATGTAAATGTATGTATTTCCGATTATAAAATCAACTATCCAGTCACATTTTTTGTTCTTACACAAAAAGATATTAAAAAAATTCAAATGAATTATGAATTATGAATATTATAATTGCAATTTGTGCAAAAAACACGTTCTCGTGGTGATATAACACTGGTATACGCATAAAGAGGCACTTAAGAGACCCTCGCTCTGCGTTATACATATGTTTCTACGTGTTGTGAGCGTTTTAACAGTACAACTTATAAATTGTATTGTGATTCTGGGTGAACTTACGCGATCGTGTGAACGGTCATACCGATGTGACAGCCGAAGGTTGTCCACGAGGTTGATCGCACGTATCGTAGACAGGGGACGCTATTGCGTACTTAATGATAGCACCGCGCACCGATGTCGGGGTTCACTGTCGCCGACGGTATCGCTTAATACTGCATGAGCATAAGACGATATGGTCACGGTCGCGTAAAGAACCGCTTATTCATCCGACAATCCCCCCCGGCGTGCGATATCGTGGGGGATACCGTGACTTCTTCGAATAAATGTGAATTCCATATTAAATGTTCAGTGTCATCTAAATCTTACGCGGTACGATGTTTCGCGCGAGCGAATAAGTTTACCCATAACGTACAATTTTTTTCGTTTATTAGTTGTTAAGACGCTTGCAACACACAATACAAAACTCTTTTAAATATTTCCTTACGCGCTATGGATTTTTTATTACAGCCGACAGTTTACACGTGGATCAACTAATAAAACAGGTCTTGATTTACTTTTGGAAATACTTATATAGTGTCGGACGTCAGTGGAAACATCCAGTGACTTCGATTAAAAAATTGTTTTATACATTGCATTATCTCGCATTTTTAATTACATTTTTTATTGCATTTAATTTGTCGATTCTTGTAAATTTTGTATTAAATAAATTTATTGGTTTCGAAATATATGCATGAGATAAAATGATAAATTATTCAGATATCGTTAAAAGATGACGATTAAATCAGTTTTATATTAATCAAAAGTTCCTACTTTTTTTTCCGTTGCTGCAGGTTTTTGAGCGAGCCGAACAAACGGGTTTTAAAATATAATAAATATATACAAATTATATATAAAATATATACATATATATATATATATATACATATATATAATCTAGTATCTAGCCTCTTTTCCTGTTATTGAAAATTGCATGATCAATCAGTTATTGCGTATCATGACTAAACATACAATAAATCGCATTAATCATCCACAATAGTATAATTTCAGTCATTATCAGTACATTACTCGTGCATTACCAATTGCATTTAAAACGATTTTAATCGTGTCAAAGACGCGTCGTGCGTGACGCATTGCGAGACAAGGGATCGTCCTGCGCACGTCTCTAATTGTCGTACATAATTTTAGCATTAGTCACAGAGAGATTGCCAGTTGTAAGGAGAGACAAGAGGCTACCGTTTATAATGGTTTATGTAAACCGCGAATTTACGTCGAACTCGCGGTAGCCGCAAACTTTCCGTGATACGATTAATTCCGCGGATCAATCCCAGGATCGTCATCAACGCGGTTTATTCCATCGTGACATGTATAATTACCGTTATAATCCATCGCCGCGTGCTTGCGGCACCGTGATTACGATCGTGTTAAGTACAGGCTGCATTACGGCGCTTCGTTGTAATGAATGACGAGTTAAATGAGTGCACGACTGGCCGTTCGCGAAATGATACTGAAACTTATACGCCGGTCGTAGATACGACGATCGATTACGTAAATACGGCATTATGAATGTAAGCTTAAGCCGGACCTCATCAGAGTTATACCCCTCACGTGCTATCCGATCCGTCAAACCTCTCTCGCGTACATTAATTTTTCCCTTCGAATAATTTCTTCTTTTTGAACTCTCCAGTTCACGCGTCGATTGATTATCATAAAATGTTCAATGAATTAATAGCGTCCAACAGCAGTCTGTATAGTTGATGAGTTGGTGAGAACTTAGGCAACATTTCCATCGTCCGCTTGAACCGAAAAGGCTTGCGTGAACGGCGAGATTCACGCAAGCCTGAATTACGAGTTTTAACTGCTTAATATTATGACGTCAATTAACATATAGTATAAACACGTGCATATCTGATATCGTCAGATTGCGTTTCTAATTTATTGTTATTATAAACGATCCGTGCATAAAAATTAATGATAAACTAAAAATGCAGCCTGCCTGTGACGTAAAGATACGTCCATATGCTGCTATATCCATATGTCAATTGACGTCATCATATTAAGTAGTTAAGGCGCGCAATTCGTCAGGCAATTTCGCCGCTCACGCTTGCGCGGATCCGTCGCGTGGACGCGTGCTCGCTTATAACGCAGTTATCGGATTTGCTAATGGTCAATGGGGGGGCCCTCTGCGTAATGACGCTTAGTATTCGAAAATCGAAGTGCAGGAGCGTTGCACAATGCGACATTCCGCGCGAAGACATGGCGCGAGGACGCGCGTGTGGAAAGATCAGCCTCTTTGTTTTCTGGGCCATGGTCGAGACACGTATCCCAATGACGATCAATGTAAAAAAATCATTCCCATCGCTTTTTCCGCGCGGCAGATTTGATTTCGCTTCTCAGAGAGGAAGTAGCGAGGAAGCTTTCTCCTCGCGTGTTCGCTTCACGACGGCGTGTCTTTTTCTCGAATCAGCCGGCATCAGACGAACACTCGTGATTAGATTGATTCCCCGCCGATAAGTAAACTTGCGTAATATTGTAGGTATATCGTTTAAGCAATAATCTCCATTGGAACGTTACTTTACGAAAATGAAATCTCGACGTCTGCAGCGTTGCGATTATAATACTTTAAGCTAAAGTGAAATTACTTTGGAAGTGACGTGCATTTTTCTGGCGCACCCATTTGTCGCATGTTGTAATTCACTGTTTCAAATTATATGCATTACATAGATAAAAGGGTTATTTAATTAATCCAGCTCGATTTAAATCGAGACCCTTCCCTCGTGCGACGCACATTCAACGTCGACAGAAATTACTCGTTCGATTTTGCTCTCTCAATGCCAATATTGCTGTCTTCTTTCTTTCGGTCGTACTCGCCATCACATATATTTCAGAAAAAGTTGTGAAATTAAGAAAAAAATGTGAATTTATATCGCCTGATTATGCGCACGCATACGTTTGTTCGTTGTGTATTTATAATATAAACCATAACAGCCGGAATAATTAAAATGTAGAACGAGTGTATGAGTCAGCAATTCCACTGTGTTTCATATATAAGTATACGTGCGATAATTTTAATACTCAATTAGATGACCTTGAGAGTTTTGCAACAACCATTCAGTTTGTACTGACAATAAGTCTGAAAATTTTGCTGACTTCGACAATCGACGCCGACGTATTTGTAAGTCGCCGAGTATTTTTGATACGCAAGTTAAATGGACATTAAAATTTGGTAAATATTATTGTTTAAAAATAAAGCTATTTGCTGCTTTATCGTTCAAATTATATAGAAATGGATTAGGCTCCAAATGGATAACATCTAAACGTAATAATTGTTACATTACTTTTTAGGTGCACGTCTAGGTCGAATTAATTAACTTGAGTGACAGCTAATTGGCAGATAACGCATTACTTACGACGTCTTTATTGGGCTCTCAAGTTTAATAAACTCATCCTCAAGTTTATATAAACAGGATTAATTGATCCGAAAGATTTACAATGTTTGAGAAAGTATAAATTATTGCATAATTACTGTTTGCGTGCCGTCCGATCTTCGGTCGAGTAAAATAGTTTGATAATGCGCGAGTTGCACTTTTTTTTTAACAGATTTTATAATGCTACCATATGGGCATTCACAATGCTTACGTAATTATAACGTAACATAATGGCTTATTTTTCGACGTGAGAGTTGCTTATTCGACGACCATATAATCGCCTTTATAGGGAGATATCTCACGAGGAAATAAACCGACGACCTAAATTCAATTCGGGTGAAACTTTACGGGAATGACATAAGTCATTGACGTCAATCCTGAATTGCGATGTCAGAAGCGGGAGACGATCGAATCGTACGCCTGAATGATCCAACACTTTCGGCAACATTCGGCCGCAGAAGAGACCTTTAGAATGTTCCCAAATTGTCCCATGGAGCAGAGTTTTTTTTTTATACGCGTTATAAAATATGCGCCATCAAAATTTGCAGCGGGAATAAAAATACGACAACAGGGTAGATCAAAGAAATCCATCGCTATATACGATTTTGCGAAAATTACCCCGGTGACACTACCCCAGATATTCGAGGAGTCTTGCATAGTTTCGTTTGCAATTTCGACGATATTCTCCCTCATTACGATATGTTTACGTTACATATGATCCGTGCGCACGTTGCGCTCTTACGTAAGCGCGACGTTTTGCGGCGTTGGTTGTTGGTCTCCGCCGGCGAACGAATAGAGAGAGGGGCCGCCCGACGGAGTTTGGAGAACGCTTCCAAACCGGCATCCGCGCAAGTTCGCAACAGACGTCGTTGCACCACTTTCGCTATAAAAATCGGCATCCGTGACTAACCTTGGCACATTTCCCAACCGCGATCGCGATATCGCTCGTCGTCGTTGCTGCTGGCCACGCGGATTTTTGAGCGTGACTCCAATGACAAGCGCTGCGATGGCACTTGACCTTCGCCGGGTCGATTTCTTTCGTTCCCGTCGCGACGTCGGGTGCGATCCCGTTTTGTTCTCTCGCCGACCACGACGGACTACGGCGACGAGTGATGACTTCCTTGCGTAA